ATAATAATAATAGAATTAAAGCGGGTATTAAGAAACTATCGCAACGTACCGATATAGTAGTCAGACCAGCAGACAAAGGAGGGGGGGATTGTAGTCCTGTCAAAAGATCAATATTTAAAAGAACTGAATTCACAACTAACAGATAGTACTACGTATAAAAATATTACAAAAAGACCCTACTATACAATACAGGAAGGAATTGGAAATAGTAATAGATAAAGGCGTACAGAATAACATTCTTAATAAAAAAGAAGCAAGATTCCTTATTCCGGACACATGCAGAATACCCATTATTTACCTAGTTCCAAAAATTCATAAAGACCTTCACAACCCCCCGGGGAGACCCATAGTGAATGGAATTGATTCTATTCTATCTCGGTTAGGGCATATGTAGACAAGTTTCTACAACCGCTGGTCAAAAATACGGTCTCTTACCTCAGAGACACTAAGCATCTGATTCAAGTACTAGATACCATTCAAGATACCAATGAATTAAGGTTAGCGAGTGCAGATGTCTCCTCGCTATATACCATTATTGACCATGGGAAGGCCATTACATCCACCAGTTGGGGTCTGAGGACATATAGTAATCTTCTTAGAAAACAGCAGAAGTATATTGTGGAGTGTTTAGATTTTTGTCTCACCCACAATTACTTCTGGCATGGTCACCAATTTTTTCAACAAATCAAAGGGGTTGCTATGGGCGCCCGGTTTGCACCAAGTGTAGCAAATCTTTTCATGGCCCATTGGGAACAGCATTCTATCTATCATAATACCCCGGGTGAACTAGTACTATACAAACGATATATTGATGACGTGATAATCCTATGGCGGGGGGATGAGAATTCTTTACAAGTATTTCTGCAATCACTCAACACCAATGATAAGAATATTTCTTTTTCCTGGGAAACCAGTAGGGAATCCATTAACTTCCTGGATCTGAATATTTCAGTTAAGAATAACCAATTGGTGACTACTACTTATTTTAAAAACGTAGATCGGAATGGTTACATCTCTTTAGATAGTTGCCACTATCCCCAGTGGCTTCTCAATATCCCTAAGGGACAATTTGTCCGCTTACGAAGGAATTGCACTACTGTAGATGACTACAAAGTGCAAGTCCAGAAATTAGGGGAAAGGTTCGAACAAAAAGGTTACAACAAAGACTTCATCTCGAGAAAGATAGAGGAGGTAGAAAATATGGACAGATCCCAACTGCTTAAAGATAATGAAAGAGTCAAACCCCTAGATGACCTGGTACCTATTGTTTTGGATTATAATATACATCATAAAAAAGATTGAGAAGATCTTTTTGAAACACTGGCCGATTTTGCAATCTGATCCAGCCCTGATGAAGGTTATACCTGCCATACCAAAATTTATATATAGAAAGGCTCCAAATATTAGGACTCGTTTAGTAAAAAATGTGATTGATCCACCCCGAACCAATTTAAGAACCACTATTATTGACCTAAAAGGCTTCTATCCCTGCAAAACCTGTTATGCGTGCAAAGAGACAAAGGGATTAAATGTAAGAAGGAGACAATTTCAGGCCACAACAACAGGAATAACATATACCATTAAAGATTTCATATCCTGCCAGACGGCAGGTGTAGTATATGGGCTCCAATGTGAGTGTGGACTCCAATATATCGGAAGAACTAAGAGGCCTATGTGGAAAAGGATACGGGAGCATGTACAGAACATCAAAAAGGGTCACACTAAACACAGTGTCTCCCGACATTTCGCTAATCACCATAATAGTGACCCCACAAAATTGTTATTCTGGGGAATAGAGAAATGTAGTAATCACTGGAGGGGAAGCAATAAGGTTAAAGTTATCAGTCAGGCAGAATCCAAATGGATCTTCCTGATGAGGTCTCAACATCCGAGGGGCCTGAACGTAGAATTTGATCTTAATTGCTTCATCAGCAATTTTTAGCAAGGATCAGTTCAACCCCCATTGTTGTGATGGTCTTGTAATCTCACTCATGAAATGTTTCAGCTTAACCACTAATCCATGTATGTAATGTCAACATTTCCCCTGAGGATATTGCATAATGAATTTCCATGATGACGGTGTATTGTACATCAGGGTTTTTTCGGGTCTTTGTTCCTTTTTTATATAGATATAGGTTTTTTATACATATTTTTTATATATATATTTTTTATACATATATTATACATATTATGTATACCACTATAAGGGGCTTCTCCCCGATCAAGGGGACTCATACACCTTTATATGTATACATGTCGTATCATGAGGGACTATGATAGGCTCTCTGGTATTATGGATCAAATGAGTTGAAGACACGGAATATATTTTTACTATTTACTATTTTCTATTTTTACTTAATGAATGCAGGTTTTAGTTTTATATTATATCCAGTATGTGGATTCACATATATACATTGGTATGATAGCTATTAGTAGCATGATCGCGGTCCTCCGTTCTGCAGCCGCAACTAGTATGATGGCTGAAGGTGTCCTGTGAACTCCAATAAAATGGCGGCCAAGTTCCGCCCATCGGAAGTACTGATTGGCTAAAACATCAGATAAATAGGGCTCCACCCAGGATAGGCGTATATCCTGATGAAGTCACGTGATTGAAGTGACGTAACGCGTAGATACGCCAGTGGGAGGAGCTTACACGAACGTTCTGACGTCATATCCGGCGCGGGGCGCCATCTTGGTGCTCCCAGTCCCTGAATACAGTACACCCTTTGAGTGGTGTGAAGGCTCGGTTTTACATGTGAAAAGTGTGAGTAGTTTTTCTGTGTGATTTATCACTTTCTTAATAAAGCGGTTTTACACTACATAAGTTCTCTCTCCTTATTGATGACCCTGTGGGAAGGGCACCTTCGATACCACCAACGCTCGGGTATAGGAGATTAGAGGAGGAGAGTCCCACCATTACATCTCGAGGGATCCATCATCTGAAGGATCTATCCAAGACCCACCATATATCAAAAAAAGGCTCATTGGTCCCTAGGGGCCTGAGCAGGAAGGTGAGGGGGCACTTCACCTATTTGAGGATTGGCACTTACAGCTTTCACCTGCATGGAATTTTATGCACATGGACACTATGTACTGCACTATGCATATAGTCATTTAAGTGCATGATTTACTTGTGAATATGTCATTATTAGCCCATATATTCATATAAAAGATACGGCTGTGTGAGTCACTTTTAATTATATACAAGTCATCTGATATAATACATTTTACCCCGGTTTGAGCGCTGCACTATTTTTCTAATATTTCTCTTGCATAACATGATTTAACCTATTGTTAGCTGTAAACAGCAAGCACCTACGGGAAAATAAAAATGTTCAATTTCAAGAGAGCTAATTTTCCAAAACTGAGAGCTGCTCTCCAAGACTTAGACTGGGAGGGAATATTGGCATCGATGAACACAGCACAGAAATGGGTGTTCTTTAAAAAGCCTGTATATGACCACACTGCAAAATATATTCCAATGGGCAACAAGTATAAAAGGCTACAAATCAAACCTATGTGGCTTACGGCCAAAGTTACAAAAGCGATAGATAATAAGAAAAGAGCTTTTATTAAATATAAAAATGAAGGAACGCGATCATCGTTTACACATTACAAAGAATGGAACAGAATGTGCAAAAAGGAAATAAAGGTGCAAAAATTGAAAAGGAACGACAGATTGCAAAAGATATCAGGACCCCAAAACATTCCTCCAATCTATGAATAGTAGAAAGGTCCGGTCCCAGCATGTAGGCCCTTTACAGAACCATCTAGAGGGGGGGACTGGGGACAAAGAGAAGGACAATGTATGCATGATTTGTCCTCCTGCATGTACTCATTGTAAAATCATGTTTGATGACATCGCCATCCTTTGTAACTAGATGTCTTTTTAACATTGTATACATAAAATATGGTTTATTAAATTGTTATCTTTTACAATATTCTTGGTTTGACTTGTGCCTTTAAAGATCCCACCAAAAAGAGGGTTGTTCTCTGCAGTGTGCATCCATTATATCCGCTCTCCCCGGACCCCACATTCATTATATCCGCTCTCCCCGGACCCCGCATCCATTATATCCGCTCTCCCCGGACCCCACATTCATTATATCCACTCTCCCCGGACCCCACATTCACTATATCCGCTCTCCCCGGACCCCACATTCATTATATCCACTCTCCCCGGACCCCGCATTCACTATATCCGCTCTCCTCGGACCCCGCATTCACTATATCCGCTCTCCCCGGACCCCGCATTCACTATATCCGCTCTCCCCGGACCCCGCATTCACTATATCCGCTTTCCCCGGACCCCGCATTCACTATATCTGCTTTCCCCGGACCCCGCATTCCCTATATCTGGTCTCCCCGGACCCCGCATTCACTATATCCGTTGTCCCCGGACCCCGCATTCACTATATCCGCTCTCCCTGGACCCCGCATTCACTATATCCGCTCTCCCCGGACCCCGCATTCACTATATCCGCTCTCCCGGACCCTGCATTCACTATATCCGCTCTCCCTGGACCCCGCATTCCCTATATCCGCTCTCCCTGGACCCCGCATTCCCTATATCCGCTCTCCCCGGACCCCGCATTCCCTATATCCGCTCTCCCCGGACCCCGCATTCACTATATCCGCTCTCCCCGGACCCCGCATTCACTATATCCGCTCTCCCCGGACCCCGCATTCACTATATCCGCTCTCCCCGGACCCCGCATTCACTATATCCGCTCTCCCAGGACCCCGCATTCACTATATCCGCTCTCCCCGGACCCCGCATTCACTATATCCGCTCTCCCGGACCCTGCATTCACTATATCCGTTCTCCCCGGACCCCGCATTCACTATATCCCGTCTCCCACATTACACACAACATGGAAATGCAATTATTTTAGGAAATATAAACTGCTACATATCTATTCTCATCAGCAGTATATAGCAGTCTTGTGACTTCTATCAATGTCCAGCAAAGCACTGGTTAAAGCTTGTAGCAGGAGTTTTCTCTTGGAGGATGCAGAACCCCTGACCTCTGTCTGGACAGTGCTGATTGGCCCTGTGCTGATCACATGCACTCTCCCCAAGAGGAAAACAAATTCTCTAGCACTACACACCAAACTGATCATGTGCAGCTTGCCCCTAAGGCTCTGTTCTATCAGCAGATGGATTGGGGACAGAAGAAGACTGGGAGGATCAGATAAGACAGGTTCAAACAGCATTTTTACACAATGCAGAGGATTAACCCCTTAGCTTCCACAGTGAGTATAACAAGCATGCTTTACTGCATCTACAGACTGATTGTACTGTTGGGGGTTTAGTAACTCTTTAACCCCTCACCTACAAGGCACTTCTACCCCCTTCCTGCCTACCGGGCACTTCTACCCCCTTCCTGCCTACAAGGCACTTCTACCCCCTTCCTGCCCCCCGGGCACTTCTACCCCCTTCCTGCCTACAGGGCACTTCTACCCCCTTCCTGCCTACAGGGCACTTCTACCCCCTTCCTGACTACAGGACACTTCTACCCCCTTCCTGCCTACAGGACACTTCTACCCTCTTCCTGCCTACCGGGCACTTCTACCCCCTTCCTGCCTACAGGGCACTTCTACCCCCTTCCTGCCTACAGGGCACTTCTACCCCCTTCCTGCCTACCGGACACTTCTACCCCCTTCCTGCCTACCGGACACTTCTACCCCCATTCCTACCTACAGGGCACTTCTACCCCCTTCCTGCCTACAGGGCACTTCTACCCCCTTCCTGCCTACAGGACACCTCTACCCCCTTCCTGCCTACAGGACACTTCTACCCCCTTCCCGCCTACAGGACACTTCTACCCCCTTCCCGCCTACCGGACACTTCTACCCCCTTCCCGCCTACAGGGCACTTCTACCCCCTTCCTGCCTACCGGGCACTTCTACCCCCTTCCTGCCTACAGGGCACTTCTACCCTCTTCCTGCCTACCGGACACTTCTACCCCCTTCCTGCCTACAGGGCACTTCTTCTACCCCCTTCCTGCCTACCGGGCACTTCTACCCCCTTCCTGTCTACAGGGCACTTCTACCCCCTTCCTGCCTACAGGGCACTTCTACCCCCTTCCTGCCTACAGGGCACTTCTACCCCCTTCCTGCCTACCGGACACTTCTACCCCCTTCCTGCCTACCAAGCACTTCTAACCCCTTCCTGCCTACAGGACGCTTCTACCCCCCTTCCTGCCCCCCGGGCACTTCTACCCCCTTCCTGCCTACAGGGCACTTCTAACCCCTTCCTGTCCAGGCCAATTTCCAGCTTTCAGCGCTGTCACACTTTGAATGGCAATTGCGCGGTCATGCAACACTGTGCCCATATCAAATTTTTATCATTTTTTTGTGACAGATGGAGCTTTATTTTGGTGGTATTTATTCACCTCAGGGTTTTTTTATTTTTTTTTTAAACAAACCAAAAACCACTGAAAATTTTGAAAAAAAAAAGTTTTTTCTTAGTTTTTGTTATAAAATTTTGTAAAGAAGTGATTTTTCTCCTTCACTGATGTGCACTAATAAGGCTGCAGTGATGGGCACTGATAGGCTGCACTGATGGACAATAATAGGTGGCACTGATGGGCACTGATGAGGAGGCACTGGTAGGTGGCACTGATGGGCATTGACAGGCATCACTGATGGGCACTGAAAGGCAGCACTGATATATGGCACTGATAGTCGGCACTGACAGGTGGCACTGACTGGCACTGATAGGCGGCACTGAAAGGCAGCTCAGATGGGCACTGATATGTGGCATTGATGTGCACTGGTATGCACTGATATGTGGCACTGATCGGCACTGATGGACTCTGACAGGTGGCGCTGCTGGGGCTACACAGATCATCAGGGCACATTTATCATCAGTGCCCTGATGATCAGTGTACATGTCCCCTCCGAGGAATGCCGATTACCGGCTCTCCTCTCCTCTGTCAGCGTGACAGCTCATGAGGAGAGAAATGCCGATAACCGGCATTTCCCTGTTTACATGTGATCAGCTGTGATTGGATACAGCTGATCACATGACCGAGCCGACATCTTCAGCTCTTTCTGTGGATCGGTGATCCGCTGTGTTCGAGGGACATAGTGCATCGCCGATCGCTGCGCTACACGCTCCCTGAGCCGTGCAAGCGCGGTGAGAATGGACGGATGTCATATGATGTCCTCCCAGAGCGATAGAACCACCTTGCGTCCGTCATATTACTATATGGCGGGCGGTGGTTAAAAAAACCTTCCCCATAGCAGCTGTGGGAAAAATATAAAGCATCACCTCCCAATGAGGGGCACATACATGAAAATGACCCAAATATATATGTATATAATTCTATGAGATATGAATTATATCATGTAAAAGGACCTCCTCCTTGATGGAGATATCTTAGAGTACATCCATTCAGTGGTTAGCCAAACATGCAAAGTCCTTGTTGGACGTTAAGCAAGATGTTGATTTCTCCCATTTGTAGCATGTCTTGCCAATGATTGTTATATACATTTATTGCAAATTAAACCACACAGTTGGTTATTGTAATGTAAGACAATACTTACTAAGGCAGGTGGAAGTACCTGCACATTCTTGCAGTTTATGCTCCCACGTTCATTGGAGAGAACCAGTTAAAGGCACAAGCTGACTGGAGGGGCTCTGTGCCATGTGATTGCTGTGATGGCCAATCACAGCAATCACAGATATAAGCAATGTAGTTCTATTTACATAGGTGAGCCCTCCTTCTCACAAAAGAGGAAGGTGACAACTGAGGATTTAATGAATGAATGAATCCATTCACTAAACCTTATGGCTGCAGTGGTATATTAATATGTTAAAGGGACACTGACCACCACTGTTGTGAGATTATTTGGGGGGAGGTTTCAAATAGTGGGAAGTGGATGGGGGGGTTTAAAATGCCACTGACCACCAATGACTGCAGAATTGTTTGGAGGTTAACATGTTTTGGTTTATCTATACCATCTAGCCACTGCACACAATGCAATTTATTGCTTCAAGGAACTTTCTTCTACTAATAACAGACTGGGACTTACTGTAGCTTCAGTAGATAAAAGGCTAAGTACACCTTAAACCCCTCAATACCAGCAAGTTTCTGCATTTCTAAATGACTGGCAAAAAAGAACATGAGACTTTGTTGTGTATACTTTGCAAAAATGAGTCAATTTGGGGCATTTGTACGATCTTGATTTTTTTTTTCTAATTTGATATATTTTTTGGCAGAGTAAGGGCAGTTGCACACTGATCCACTACGGTTAGGCCGCAGCGCAATGTACCTACGGTTTTTGTGTGCATTACTCATGTTTTCCCATAGACTTCTGTAGCGCTACCCTCCTGAGGGCCTCTGTGTTTCTGGGTCCCCCCAAGCTCTGCACAGTTAGGAAACTTGCATTTTCCACACTTGCATCCAGTCAATGAACAGTCCATGAGCTTGGTTTTTGTGATTTTATTAGGGGGGAAATAACTTGGATGGGGGTAACAGGGATTATAGGATGCCCAATTGTACTGATCCACTGCACAGGAACAACGTCCGTCCTATTTACAAAGACAGATCCTGAACCGTTCTTCTCCTTGAATGCAGTCAGTCTTCGCAGATCAGTAGCAACTGCCCTTATGGGTTAGGGGCTCTCAGCCCCTCTAAAAGTCAGCTTAGCTTTTTGCAAACCACATGCAGAGAAGTTTCTTCTCCCCTGTAGAACTGCCCCCAGCTCCACAGCCCTCCTGGCTGCTCTGAAGATCTCCCAGGACAATGATAAAGGATTGAGTCCAGCGCTGTCCTTAACCGGTTCCCGCCCGGCCTATGGCCGAATGGTGGCTGGCAAAACCCCTCATCCCTCTGGGTGGATGCCATATGGCGTCCTTTCAGACATGTGCAGTTTGCATGCCAGCAGAGCAGTGCAGCGGCGCGATCTGTCACCTTCCGAGTACCTCGGACACGGCCGATGACAGATCTGTGTATCAGCCCCGTTGCCAGTACCATGTGACCTGCTGTGACCAATTACAGCAGGGCACATGACAGTTGTATACAATGGATGGCTTTCTATCATGCCATCCATTGTATACAAGTGTGGCTAGCTGTGAATGGTCACAGCAATCACATGCACAAGCTGGGCCAATCACAGCCCAGCTGTGTCCTGTTATCTGATCCTGTGAAGCCCAGCTGTGTCGTGATTACCTGTGGCCAATCACAGTTAAGAAAAAAAAAATCCTCAATGAATCGATGTCATTCAGGTAAATGCTTGCTTATAGCAAAGTAATTCTTTGCTATAAGTAAATTGTGTAAAAAAAAAAAAATATATATATAGATCACTTACTAATGTTTGGTAACATTATACTGCTTTGGTCATAGTGAAATATGAAAAAAAAAAGAGAAAAAAATATAATAAAAAAATAAAAAAAAAAAAAAAAATTATCAATTTTTTTTTTTGTACTGTCTCCAGTCAGTGTCCCTGATCACCGCCATGTCAGTTATATGATGACGCTGTACTGCACTGGTGACAGGATGTAAAAGAAAAAAATAGTGAAGATCATATTTTTTATTTCTTCATTTCCGAAAAATTATGCCAAAAAAAATTACAACTTCAAAAAACTTGTCATGCCTTTTATGAAACACGTCGGTCTGTCTACTTTGCAAAAAGGGGTCATTTGGGGGATATCTGTACTGTTCTGACATTTGAGGATATCTGTACTGTCCTGACATTTGGGGGATATCTGTACTTTTCTAACATTTGGGGGATATCTGTACCGTCCTGACATTTGGGGGATATCTGTACTGTCCTGACATTTGAGGATATCTGTACTGTCCTGACATTTGGGGGATATCTGTACTGTCCTGACATTTGGGGGATATCTGTACTGTCCTGACATTTGGGGGATATCTGTACTGTTCTAACATTTGGGGGATATCTGTACCGTCCTGACATTTGGGGGATATCTGTACTGTTCTAACATTTGGGGGATATCTGTACCGTCCTCACATTTGGGGGATATCTGTACTGTCCTGACATTTGAGGATATCTGTACTATTCTGACATTTGGGGGATATCTGTACTGTCCTGACATTTGGGGGATATCTGTACTGTTCTGACATTTGGGGGATATCTGTACCGTCCTGACATTTGGGGGATATCTGTACTGTCCTGACATTTGGGGGATATCTGTACTGTTCTGACATTTGGGGGATATCTGTACCGTCCTGACATTTGGGGGATATCTGTACCGTCCTGACATTTGGGGGATATCTGTACCGTCCTGACATTTGGGGGATATCTGTACTGTTCTGACATTTTGGGGATATCTGTCCTGTCCTGACATTTGGGGGATATCTGTACTGTCCTGACATTTTGGGGATATCTGTACAGTTCTGACATTTTGGGGATACCTGTCCTGTCCTGACATTTGGGGGATATCTGTACTGTCTTGACATTTGGGGGATATCTGTACTGTTCTGACATTTGGGGGATATCTGTACCATCCTGACATTTGGGAGATATCTGTACCGTCCTGACATTTGGGAGGATATCTGTACCGTTCTGACATTTGGGGGATATCTGTACTGTCCTGACATTTGAGGATATCTGTCCTGTCGTGACATTTGGGGGATATCTGTCCTGTCGTGACATTTGGGGGATATCTGTACTGTCCTGACATTTGAGGATATCTGTCCTAAAATTTGGGGATATCTGTCCTGTCCTGACATTTGGGGGATATCTGTCCTGTCCTGACATTTGGGGGATATCTGTCCTGTTCTGACATTTGGGGGATATCTGTCCTGACATTTGGGGGATATCTGTCCTGACATTTGGGGGGATATCTGTACTTTCCTGACATTTGGGGGATATCTGTACTCTCCTGACATTTGGGGGATATCTGTCAGGGATCGGTGACCCTGCCGCGATGCACCGGGCGGCGCATGCGCAGAGCACCGATACACTCTAGCCAGTGAGCAGCGGGACCTGGGTGATCGCGGCGGCCCCGCATGCGCACTTGCAATCGTGGACACGCGCCTGGCACCAATGACAGTGTAGAGCGCGCTATTTAAATGGGACAGGAGGTATGTCAAATTGCCTTTTGGTCTTTATTGCCTGTTCCTGTTATCTGATCCTGTGAAGCTTCCTGTTGCCGACCTCTGCATTGTTCCTGACTCTGTTGATTGTCTCCTGCTTGACCCCTGGCTTACCTAACCATCCTTCTGTCTGGTCCTTTGTACCGCGCTGCCCGTTAGTTACTGAACCCGGCTTGTGACCCTGACCATTCTCTGCCTGCTCCTCCGGTACCTCGCTGCCCACACGTTGCTGACCTGGCCTGCCTGACTATGCCTCACGCTACCCTGACGGATCTGTCCCTGTTACCAGGCTTGTCAGCCTCTTCACGTCAGGCTCCTTTTCCCGCACACCTCTGGTGGCACTCTCTACCATTGCCGGATGTACTCAGGGGTCGCGACCTGGTCTCAGTCTGCTCCAAGTACATCCCCACCATCAGGGACCCTGGTGAACAAGCAGATTGGGACTTAGACCCATCGCCCTGTGGAACCCCATGCCGTGGGCTGCTAGAGACTCCACCAGCCGGTGCATAACAGTACCAAACGGTCATATGTCGGAGCCTGGAAGAGGAGAATATATGCCAGCTTCTTTGAAGCGATGGCACTTCTTTATGACAACCCACAACGGACAGCGTCGGCCGAATCAGCCCTACAAATACTCCGACAGGGTCGTAGGGTTCAGGCGTTGGATGGGGGATACGCTATGGAACGATGCGGCCCTGCGTCACCAGTTCCGCATAGGTTTGTCCGAGCCATTGAAGGACGAATTAGTTAGGGCGGGCATGCCAGCCACATTAGAAGACCTCATCGCTCTGGCCATCCAGATTGACCGACGGTTGCGGGAACGCAGGATGGAAAGATCCGGCCAGGGTCAGAGGCCTACATGGGTGTTACCCCGTGTTCCAGTACAGGCTGCTCTGCCTGGAAATCATTACCCGGAGACAGCAGACGCACCTGAACCCATGCAAGTGGGGTTAACGCATCCTCATTAACGTTTGAGGAACGCCAGAGACGCTGGCTCAACAATCTGTGTCTGTACTGTGGGG